GACCATCGTCCCGTCAAGGTAACCTTCTTTGCCTGCAGCAACTCTGAGCGCAAGACAATTGGATCGCTGCTGCTGCCAGTGCGCGGCTTGCCAGTCCTGGGCACGGGTGGCAATAACAGTCCGCTGCAGTTGAAAATGTTCTGGCACAAGCTGATGTGTATTAGTAATGAGTTTCGCTCTCATAAACCCGAAGTGCTGCTTATGCTGGCCATAATCAAAAAATCGCTGCTGCATACTAAGGACTTCAAGCATCTGACGGCGTTTAATAGTTCTGTAAGTTAAGCGATACAATATGAAATATATATGTTAATTCAATTGGTTTGTCAATTTGTCCCAGCAGGAGAAAGAAAGCCGCACGCCGCCGCTGCAGTCGCCCGGCCATTCGATCACCGCCAACATGTTGCAGTCGCAGGTGAAATATTTGATATTTAGAGACATACAACATACTGAATCCTGTTCTTGTTTTCAGGCCAATGTTTATGTGCAGTCGCTGGTACAGTTGGGTTTGCTACAGGTAGGCAATGATCCACTGGTCGATTGTGACATCATCGAGGTAGTGCTGCAATTCAAGCAGCTTAAAAATCTCAACAAATTTGTCAAATCACTGTATCAGGAGAAGGATGCCGTAGAAACCGTGTTGTTAATGTTCGACTTTGTAGGAAATGTCACGAATATTGAACTTAAGCTAAACAATACCGATGCCTATACGCTAAACGACGTCTTGGGCTTGCGATTTAAGTCCTCGTTGCGTAGCATACGGCTATATTTCCAGCGCATATTCTATTTGCCCATCAATATGTACATAAACGGAACTTCAATAGGTAAGTTTAAGACACATACCCAATTCCAATTAATTAATTTTATTATTATCATTAAAATTATTGTTATTATTATATTTCAGCCAACTATCGCATGGACTTTGGTAAACTTCTGCCACCAGATAATTTTTTTGCAAACAAACGTAAATATGTGCAAAGCGGTTCTTTTGCTTTTGAGCGTTTTGGACGCATGGGCAGTGCGCGCGAGCTTAAACCAATCATGGACTACACCTTTACAGTGGACATACAGGAGGTGTATTGGCGCCAGCAAGAGAAGGAGCCGGAACCGCAGCTGAAGCAGCAGCAGCTGCATGAGGAACAGCTGGATTTGCAATCGGTGGGCAGTAAAGCTGTTATACGGGAAGTTCCCAAGGATCGGGCTCATGACAGCGTGGTGGATTGGAACCCCAAGTCTGAAAAACAATCTACATCTGCCAACTGCTCACTAGATAGTTTGAATGTTGGTGCTGAGCTTTCGGCCTCGGATGAACGGGACACCGCCTCTGAATCGCCTCTGAGTGATGCGCCCGACTCAGATACGCTCGCAACTGTGCACACATCCCAAACACGTCGCAGGAAGTTCACCAGGCTCCTAGTAAACAACCCAGAACATGAAGAGGAAGAAGGGAAAGACCATCAATATACCTCGAAGGTAGTCACTAGAAAGTTGTCCACAAGATTTGAACTTGAGGATGAACAGCAGCCGGAGGATGATTTAATGGATTTACCTGATGATATTGGCTCCGATTCTGAGCTTTATGCGTGTTACAGCAAAGCAAGTTTAACAAAAGTAGAGGACTGTTTGCCGGTGCGTTCAGAGAAGGCAAGGGAATTTAGAATACATAACCCCAGTAATTCAGCTGATCTTTGCTTAGAGGAACAGCAATCTAAAACGATAATAAGTGAAAAGAATCGGAATCCTAAAGAAATTGATTCGCAAAGGAGTTTTCAGGAGCCCATACAGCCTATGGACATAAGGACTACCAGGTTCTTGCAGGAAGAAATGCAGCTCAGACAGAATATGGCTGAACGGGTCGGAAGAAAACCCATTATTGGTGACGTTGATCAGCCTGACGTTAATGACAGAATTATCGATGATTCATGGGTTGAACTGGAACAAGAAAATAATAAATGTTCACCACAAACGACAAAGGAAGGTCGTCCTAGACGGACAGTCAAATCTAAGCCGGTGAAAGACGATAAAGTTCCATTAGAAACAAAAACTACGCAAAGTATACGAAAATCTCGATTGCGCGCAGTGTCTGCCGAGGCTAATGAAATGGAAACTAGCTGTCCAGATGCCACATTAATTAATCTTAAAGAAGATCGGATTAAGACAACCATCAAAAAACTTTCAGCGGATGGTCATACAGGACTTCAACCAAAAGTCATACGCAAAAAGAAGATTGTCTCAAAAACGGAAGAGTTTGAGTTATTGGAAAACAACGAGCTGTCAAATACCAATCCACGTAAACCAGCGAAGCCAGCTAATGAAAATAAATATATGGTTTCACAGGGTAGTCTAGATGCAGTTGAGCCTGACATAGACAATGCAAGTCAGAAAATGAAACGTGTTTCCCGAGATGGACTTGGCAAAAAGCCAATAAAAAAACTTGTCGCTCAGTCATTAGATATGGATACACCAACGGAAACTGATGAACTGGAAGAATTCCTTCAAAAACAAAGTGCCCGAAAGAATAAATCAAAACAAAGCATCCAAGCGCAAATTAAAACTTATGAGACAGTTTTAATCAAGAAAACATCAAAAACAAAGAAGTCTCCAATGTCAAAAACTGATCTTTCTCTAAGCGCTCGATGGGTGGAGGTGAGCAAGGAGCAGACAAAAGCCTTGGAGGAAACTGAGCAGTATATCGAGGCCACTTGCAAAGCGGAGCTGGATGAAACTTCTTTTGAAGAACAACACTCAGAGGGCCACAAGAAGTCTACAACTAAGAATCTTGAGCGATTGTCCCGCACACTTCACAAAAAAAATACTGAATATAGCGATGTAAATGAATGCTCGGAAATGGATCCAAGTATTGAAAGTTCCATAATAGAGGAACCCTTTAAACAGCCAAAGCTTGAGCGCAAAGTATTAAAGAAGAAGGGGTCTGCTGATCTCCGAAAAGATCAGGACTTAATGGATGCTCAAATGCAATCGGAAATGGAAACAAGTGCTAATAATTCCACAATTGAGGAACCCCTTAAGCAGAAGACATCTGTCGAGCAAGAAAAGAATCAGTCGAGGCCCAACACAAGCAGATTACAAAAACTGGTTCTGCAAGGAACGGAAAATATGGCATCAGAAATGGAATCTGTGGAGCCTGAGAAAGCCAATTTAATACGTAAGCATGACAGAAAATCCAAGCGAGTTGTTAAGCAAACATCATTGCAAAAGTATTTGGATGCGGAGGAAGCATCTCTAGTGGGACTGCCTCAGGGTACGGGCGACAAGGTTGAGCAGCCTATCAAGAAGCGTACGATCAAGGCAACACCGATCGCGCCAGCAGAGGTAGAGTCTAGTGAATTGGAGCCAATAGAAAGAAACAAACCTATTAAGCAGAGAACAACTAAAGCGTCTGCAGCTTCCAGCTTGGAGCATGATCTTATAAATAAACTCTGTGACGTTAAGAAAACTTTCGGATCCCAGTTGGAAGCCGACGCAAAGGTCTCTCGCTTGGAAGTGACAGTTCACATGTATGATCAAACGAAAATCGCAGCAGTTGAGGCAGCAAAAGCAAGCGCCACTTGTGTTAATCAGAGCGTCAACACGGATATCACCAATATGGATGAGAGCATCAAGCAAATTCTGGCGGCCGGCAAGCAACTGCAGGATGAAATGCAGCGCAAGGCGCTGGAATATATGGACAATCTTGGCCAGCGACGTTCTGACCCAGATGTATCTCAGCAGCCGGTGGACAACCAGGCCCACAATAGCCTCAACGAAGAGTCCAACGGCTGTACAAAATACGAGTCCAAATTTTATGAGCTGAAGCAGCACATACTCGTGCTAGAGCAGCATTTGCGTAAATTTGAAAGCCGCACACAGGAAATGCAACAGATGAACTTCTCGTTGGCTCAGGAGAAGATAAAGCTAAAGGAACGCATCGCACTTATGGAGCAACAAATAGCCCAGCTGTGCCAACAGGGCGCCAGTGGCAACGAGCTACAGCAGGTGCTTAGCGAGATGCGCATACAAAACGTGCGCTACATGGACATGTCCAAGGCTAAGGATCGCTACAAGAAGCAATGGCGGCGCAGTGCCAAGCGCGTGCACGCCCTTAAGCTAGCCATGTATGAGAAGAGAGTGGAGCACGAAAAGAACATGCCAGCCAAGTGAGTTAGCTGCCCTTCTGCTCGATATATACTCCCATCCTTATTGTACTTCTGCATCCATTTCAGCGTGCTTAATTTAAAAAATATTCTCACTCAGGACGCCGAGGAGTTTGAGCGTGAGTATGGTCGTTTTCGTAGGTCTGGAACAGCGCTCAGCTTTTCTGCTTCCGGTGACTCGTCTGAGCCCTTGCTTAAGGAGTATCTGCGTGCTCTTTCCAGCCAAACAGTGCAACAGCACAAGCCGCCAAATCACGTGGACAGTACTCGAATGCATTAGCCCTGATTTCATTTGACGAAATTATCTGTGATTTATGGTTATTTTATTTTATGATTGTAGGTTAATTTATATTTTGCGTTACTTCTTCGGTTCGTGATTAAAATTTCTGTTTTATTTCAACAAAACTACGCCTTAGTAAATAGATATGGTCTAATCCTTCGTGAAGAATGCATTGAGTATCGAATAATCCTAGCTCAAGTTACTATATCTAAGGTGAACTAATATCCTTGCTAAAGTAAGATTTATATGATTTAGTTTAAGTGAAAAGGTCTTACGAGATTAATTTGATCTTTTTATTATGGTCCTGACAAAAACATAACAAAAAGCTGGAATGTTACCACTGCATTAAAAATAATTGTAAATATTTAGATTTTACATAATTATTCACCACAAAGCTGTTCAACTGTTATTAAGAATTTGATATCTTGTTGACAATGGCAAAACCTTGGATACTTTTTTTTATTCAGGTTTTACCGCTTGTCAATTAGCAGGAAATAAAACGTAATAAAATATTATTTTGAGTTTAATTCTTTATGAAAATGTATTTTAATTAATATTAAGAACCGTAACTACTCCAACTGAAAGCCCACACGCACAAAATGAGGTAACGTGTCCAGCGGTGCAGAGTATTCCATGAGCCACACGGGTCCCTTGTAGACATCCTGAGTGTTTCCATCTGTCCACTCGCCCTCGGGCAGATAAATGTCACGAATTGTTGCGTTTTCCATAATGACCGGAGCCGCAATAATGTCATCGCCCAACAAAAACTCTAGAGAAAGGAGCAAGGATAAATATAAAAGATATCGTTAGTATTAAAAAAGTCAATCTACCATCGTAAATGCTCTGAGCAACTGCATCATCCGGCGCAATCCACCAGAGTGGCGCATTGACTGGTTCACCGGTTTCAGTGGCACGCTTGAAGAGCTTCATGATGTAGGGCGTGTAATCCGAATGTAACTTGGTGAAGGTCTTGCTAATCTCAATCGTCTCTTGATCAAAATTCCAGGGCACAAAAGAGAACTGCAGGCTGGGCATGAACACATTGGCCTGCAGCCAGCGAATGAAGAGCTCCTTTGTGGGCGGTTTCTCGTTGTAGCCATTGCCGCCAATCATGTCCGGCAGCACAAACGGATAACCATTCAGATTCATTTGCAGCAGCGATGTGATCAGCGTGACCAGGCCATTGTTCCAGCCCCACTCTGAATCCTTGTCGACAATGCGCACAAATATAGGCAAGTCTTGAGTATTTTGGCCGGAGCGCACCTCAACCATATCTCCAAATGCGGCCACAGTGCGCACATAATCGGTGGTGATCTGCAGAGGCGTTTGATTGGAGTCACCCTGCAGCACCGGATCCGTGGGTATCCAGCTGGACTCGCCGGCATCGAACTTAAAGCTATCAATGCCATCCTCCGTCTGTAGGCGCTTTACGCGTGTGCTAAACCACTCTTGTACCGCGGTTTTGGTGAAGTCGAGATATGCGGCATCCTTGGGCTGACTGTTCCACCACTGGGTGTCGGCGCTGCCGGCATGATCGAGCACCAGATAGCCCTGCTCCTTGGCCGTCTCGTAGATAGCCGTGCAGTTGTTGTTGATGAACGGATGTATCCACAGGGTTACCCGGAAGCCCAGCGCCTTGAGGTCGTCCGTCAGCTTCTTGGCATCTGGAAACTTGTTCTTGCGGAATGTCAGCGCACCATAGCAATCCTCCCAGTCGTCGTCAATTTCCAGTTGACTGTTCTCAAAGCCATTGTCAAGGATTTGCTGTGCAAAGTCGCGCACCACTTCGTCCGTTACCTCCGCCTTGTATAGCGCCCAGGTTGACCACACCGGATGCTGCACCATACGCTCATCGGGATGACCAGTGGGCATGCCTAGCAGCGTTTTCACCGCATACATATGCGCCACCTTCGCATCCTTGGCGAAGCCCAGCTGATAGCTAAACTTGGACGAGGAAAGGCGCGTGTCGTAGGGCAGGGCACTAAGCGCGCTGATGCACAACTGGTCCTCCAGTCCGGCTGCATTCTGATCTATGAAAAGTGGCGTCGTGTTATCTACGTACAGGAAGAAGCCCTCGCTGTTGAACCAGTAGCGCTCCGCCACGCCCATATTGCCCAGTTCCTTGGGTACATAGGAGAAGTTGCTATACTGCTGGCGCTCGACGGGCCAGTAGTGTTGCTTCTGCTCGGAGCCGCCAAACCAATGGACGCGTCCCGTATTGAGCTTCAGGCAATCCCTCGGTTGAGTGCCCTTTAGCACCTGGTCGCGAGCCACACGTACATGGGTCACGCCACCGGTGGATTGAACTAGGCTAAATTCAATGCTACTGCTGCCATCGCTCAGCTTGTAGCTGCCGGTGGATGTCGCCTCCAGATTGCTGCTGCTCACAAAGTTATCCAAGGTGACCGTCTGCAGCGTTTTGCTTCCCTTCATCAGCTCATACTGCAGCTTGGTACCGCGCCGCAATCTCACATAAATGTCGCTGTTAGCAAACTTGAACCGCTGTTCGATGGTCTGGCAGCCGTGACCAGCACTGACCCACAGGCTGCAGGCAGCCAGAATAAGCGCAGCACTTGCGTAGCTGAGCTGCATTTTAGTATAACTGTTGCATGAGCTGCCCAGCGTTGCACTTAAATAGCTCCGGCCCGGTATGCTTTTTGCCAAGTAACGTGCTTTGCGCAAATACAAAAGCCGCGCAAATAAAGCCCTCGACCAGTGTCCATAATTTTCACCGCTGAAGATGCACTCCAGGCGGTAGCTGATAAGCGGCTATCAGCTATCAGCTAGTGCTCTTCTCCAAGCTCATGAGCAATACCCTTTATATACGATCATTAGTCACTTGATTCGGTGTGTTGAAATGCCACTGAGAGACGAACAAATTATCATTAATGATACTTATAAAATATTCGTAATTGTAATTGTAACATTATTTCCCTTTTCAATTGGCGTGTTATTTGCTTTTACATACATATTAACTACTCAACTAGCTAACAATTATCAGTACTACGGAAGAGCCTCAATCTATACATACACATCTTATCAAAACAGCGTGAATCATATAAATATACAAAGTATTAAGATCTTAAACGACAAGTTAGTAAGGACATTTCATTCCGAATACAGTTGGCTGTGAACAATTTATCGATTAAATCCGCTCCCGAGTCAAAAAACATATATTCTCCCTTATGAGTAGGTTATTAGAAAGCGTTAAAGCTGTGCTGTGCTAATATTACTCATTTACTCAGTTTCCAGTCTCTAGTCTAAAAGCTTGGTTTTTTTTTTTACAAAATCTCAAAGAAATTATTGACTTTGCCAGAGATTTTGTTTCCTACTCGAAAGAGCTGGCAAACATAACACTCAGCTGAGCGCGCAGTTCAGCACTTAACTAAAATCTAAACTTTGCTTTACTCTACCAAACGTAACAAGTCAATAAGCGGCCGCTCTTGAGATTAGCTTAGCTATTACTCGGAGCAGTACTCACTCAACTCAGCTGAAAGAGCGAGAAAATTAAATGTGAAATGTACATATTTTTCTGCCAAATCGAACAGCATAAGAAACAAGTTGGAGTTGTGTAGTCGAGATGGCAAACTAAGAGAAAACTCGCATCTAATCCGATTAGGGAATACCCTCTATCCAGTACTTAGACTCTCTCCTATTATTCATACATACACACAATATACTCTCAAACTCCTCAAGCATAAGCATTTAAGCTGCAATATGTTTCCTCGAATGACGTCGGAAATTTTTCGAATTTTAAAACAAGTTCTAGGCCGAGAAATGGCATTCAAATGCGCAGCCCATTTGTTTGTCTCAAATTTTGGAGCTATGATGTGGCCACTTAAAAAGTAAAATATTCTTGACCTGCGCGAGGTATGATAATGCAAATAATGGGAATATATTTTATTTGATTAAAACTAGGATAATACATTTTGGAAAATCAATTGCAAATAATTTGAATAATTTAAATGCGTGTTATAAATAAATCGCAGCAGTTGGTTTGAATGTCGAAATGTTGATTTTTCTTTTAATGTTAGCATTAGGAAAGTGGATTTTCGGTTCGCGATTAACCCGTTTCATGAGTTATGTAAATGCACCTTTTAATTAAGAAGGATGCTGGCTGGTTACTCGGGCATCAGCTGGGCATGCAACTCGTCCTGCAGCGCTGCGCCGAGCGACTCTCTGGGCAGTTGATTTGGCTGCAGCTCATCGTGATATTCGAGCACATCACTCGGATAATGTAGACGCGCCTTGAATACTTCCACTTCCTGCTCCTCATCGCTATCGTCTTCGGCAATAAGCGCGACGCGCGTATAAGCCTCTGCCTTGGCCGCACGACGATTGTATACCATACCACCAGCCACGCCGACGCCCACTAGAGATACAACCACGGCAATCACTAGCAGCGCTGTGCTCCAGTTCATGTACTGAATCTTGGCATCTGATGCTAGCTGTGCATTTGCGGGATTAGACACATCCACCACGGTGCTCCGCACCACATAGGCATAGCAGTAGGTCTCATTGGTCTGGAGCAGCTTGCGCAGCTGGTTGCCCGGATAGCAGGTGCTGCACTGGGATGCATTGGGGCCATAGCAGCGCAGGCAGCTTTTGTCGCAGCTTGAGCAAATACGACTTTGACGCGGTGTCAGCAACAAGGTGTTGGTGCTGGACTCGCTGCTCCGACGTCGACGTTCCGCCGCCAGCAGTGGATCGTCCTGGTTGATGGAGCTTTTGCCAGTGCTGGGTAAATCGTTGCCATCCGGCGTAGAGATAGCTGCAGCGGCGTCTATCTCGCTCAACGTCACGGCTTCATCCAGCTCATCTGAATTAAGCTTAGCGAAGGTGTGCTGGGGGCACTCGTCGTAGCAGAGATCCATGTAGAAGTAGCTGGGCTCCTGGCAGTCTGGGAAGAATCGATGAAAAAATTAATTCACGTATACCAAAAGAAAGAACAAGCAGAAACTAGTTACAACTAACCAAGGTGATAGACCATTTACCTCCGAAATAGTGTTGATAAATGGAGAAAAGAAAGTGGAAAGCATGAATTTGCTGTTTAGTTAATAGAATAATAAGAGAGTTGAAGCTCGAATGTAAAAGTATAATATGTACAAGACAAGGGCAACAAAAGAGTTTAATTTAAAATGTATTCTTTTTACTTTTTAATTCTTGTAATTAACATTTTCAAGCAATAGTCAAGTCTCAACTGAAACTTTTCCATTAACAACAAACAATGTAAAAATACATATTTAAAGCAAGCGCAGTAGTCCAAAAAACATGCTCAAATAAAGTGGAAAATAAGTTGGGTGGATGTGAGTGTCTGCCGTACCAAAACCAGTGTTGGAATGTAAACAAGGCATAACGATGAGAAGTGAGAGGTGTGCATTTAAATATTATGTTAAATAATAGAGTTTACGATATTAACAAGTAGAAACACCAATTAAAATGTTAATAATCATACAGTAGAAGAATAATATTTTTTTTTTTTGGTTGAACGCTAGGTACATAGGTTAAAAACACAAAATTACGCAACACTACAGTGTACTAAGAAAGTTTCAAAATTTGATTTTTGTTGCCAAACTCACCTTGCTTTTAGCTACACGAGAAGGGGAGGGTTCAATTAATAAAATGTCTAAACTGTTTTTGGACCACATTTTACTTGCTGCGCAGTAAGAAAATCTTTGTTGTTGCAAAAAATGTTTCAGTATTTTTTAAGGTAAATATTTTGTGTTGAATACTTTTTTAATGCGTTTATTTATTACACAGATAGTTATATAGATATATATATATATATGTATATATATATATACACAAAACATACATAAAAAATGGTTGATTCTTTATAGCGGCCATCAAATCTCATTTACAATTATACTTAAGTTTTTTGTTGTTCTTAAATCCATTGTTTTTATACATTTAAAGTGTAATTTTCGCACAAATGAATTATTTTGCTCCGAATTTGCAGTTGTTATTGGTTTAAATTTAATTTTAATAGCTACCCCAGGCCCTAGTACCATATTTTATTTATTTTATATATATTGTTTTCTTTTCTTTAATACTTATTTATTTAGTATTATCTTAAAATTAATTTGGCTTTTTATTTTACTTTTATTTTGAAATTTTTTGAAAAAAGTTTAAGCATAAGTACCGCAGCCAGCACTGAGTTAATTAAATGAATTAAACAAACCTCATACGTGGACAAATTTAGAAAAACTTATGAAACACTGATTTTTGTTTTTTTAAACTTTGTTAGTCCTTTGCTTAAGTTATATTTTTTGCTGCTAGGTTATATGCTTGAAGATTTTTAGTTTGCCGCAATTAAGCATAGAAAATGGCTAAGCTATAATTTATAATTATTATTATTTTATATTTCATGTCAGTTTGCTAAGTACAACAACAACAAACAAGTCAAACGAAAAGAAACATTTCTAATCAAATTAATATTTATATATTTTTAAGTTATTTATTGTGCATTTACGATATGATTATTCATTTAAAAACCAGCAACAAATATTTAGGTCGCATTTAAAGTAAAATAAAGTTTGTACCAAGTGAAAAGGAAAAACAAATTATATAAAATGATATGTGACACATTTGAGTCATTTAAAATTGTTTGTGCGTTGTATTTGTTGTTGCTTATTATAATAATGAGAGAGAATTAGAAATAATTATTGCACTTGTGTTGCGTTTTGATTTTGTTTTGATTGGTTTTTTGTTTTTTTGTTTTTTTTTTTAACTACAAATTGGAGATGAGAGCGCTTGTCACGAAAATGGTAAACATATAATATTTAAGAAATTCCTCTTCATGAGCGAAAAGGTCATGCGAGCTGTGTCACGCGCCCATCTCTAGAATCAATTAAAGTAATTGTTTATGTGTTGGCAAAAATGAAGAACAACAAATATTGTAACAAAGATATGTGAGAGTGTTCTAAGACGATTCGATTTTGCTCTGATATGGAAATCAATTAACTTTATTTCTTTTACAGTTTTATAGTATAGCTTTTGTTTTTTTTTTTAATGCTTTTTATAATGTTGCGCACAAGCATAATGACTAGAAGTTTGTTGCTTACTTCTGGCATTTCTTAAGCTTTTGTTTTTGTGCGCGATGATGATGATTTCTGTTATTTGCGTAAGTTTATATAATTCATTTATCAGTTCCTATGCTCACTAGAAAATAACCTAATTTTTGTTCAATTGGTTTTTATTTTGTTATATTGCAACTTTGTTGAAAACTGCAGGAACTTTTTCTATATAAATTGTTTTATTAATTATTTATTATTGGTTGCTTGCCTACTTTAATACTATACGTAGTCGTACCCTACACCCTAGTATTTCGTTTTCGTTTACTTTTAATTGTTTAGTGAATTTTTTTTTTATGTTTTTTAATTTTCTTAGTTACAATTTTAATACAAAAATTTGTTTGCTTTGCTTTGACGCCTTAACACTAACATTTTATGCAATTTCTTTTAAAATACGAATTGAATTTTCCATTGAATTTTCATTGTTAGTTTTTTAGTTTACGCATCATTTCATTAGGATTTACGTTTAAATTTTAGAAACAGTCTTTTACTATGAACTCAAGCTGTTGTAATAAACCATTTTTTGTAGGGCGCTGCACAGAAAATTATGACGATAAAAAATATAATTAAAATAATTAAAAGCAGTCAGTTCTGCCTAAACTGTAGCTATTTGGCTGGCCTGGCAATATCTGAAATGCATATATACATAAGTAGACATGTACAAAGCACAAAAGCTTAAGAGTCACTGAAGAGAAAAGTGCTCAGTCAGCAGAGCATTTGGACGTGGCCAATGCATTCAAAACTGTCAAGGCCAAGGCGCAATGCATGCAAAACTGGTTAATCTGACTTTGGCACAGGGAAATTGAAAACCCTCATACTAAATGCAAAAAAAAAAAAAAACAAATTAAAATATTTCTAAATTAAAGCAAAAGAAAAACCAACGAAAACAATGAACAAATTTAACTAAACTTATAAAAATATTTAAAATAGATTTTGACTAAATGTACATATATAACACACATTATTTTTGTTGTTATTTGTGCGAGCCGAAATGAAACAACCTTTGTTTTGTCTAACATTTTTTTTTGTGTGTATGTCTCTGTGTGTATAACTACGCTTATATTCAAATTTAACTACAAAAAGTATTAGTATATTTATTTTTTGGACTTGCAGAGTTTTATTTTTATGTTTGTTTTCAGTTTTCTACGCTTATTTATCATGTTTGTTTTTGTTGCTTACTTTGCTATTGTTCAATTGATTTTTTGCCAGCTTTGAAAATGCTTAAATTAAGCACAAAATGCTCTTGTTAATGTTTGTTTTTTGATCAAACTTTAAATTGGAATTGAAGTTTGTTCACATCTTTGTTTTTGTTTTGTTTTTTTGTTTTTTACAGTTGTTTATGTTGTTGTCAGCTTTGCAAAATAGTTTTTCGTGAATTATCTAATGCTTTTGTTGCTGTTGCCATTGATGTGGTTTTTGTTGATGGCAATGGCTTGTTTAAAGTTTAGATAGAAGATTTGTGTTATGAGTAGAAAGATTATGGACAAACCTAAACATTTCTGGTCGCTCCACTTGAGGCAGGCGGCTGCATTGCTGCGATCCTGAGTCATTCCCACTTCGCCCACCTGCAAGTACACATTAAACGAAATGCAAAAAAATTAAATCGATTAGAGATTCATGTATTCAATCATTAAAATACGGTTCACTTAACGTATGAGTAACATTTTTCATGGCCAAACTAAAAAAAACGAGCAGTGTATGTGACAGTCATGTGTCTATTAGACCAGAATATCAGAAATGATTGTTTGCTTTATAAATAATCATTAATACATTCAAAAATAATCTATTAAATATACAAATATTGTTGTTTATTATGTAAGGAACATTAAATTTATATCGCGCAAATTAAATTACAATTAACAGAGCACAAAATAGCACAAATATAAATTAAAATTTCATTTAAAAAAATAAAACACAAAAGAAAAATATCAAGCTCTTTTATTATTCTGGGATCGTGTATAAAAGTGCTGTAAAAGTAATAAAGTATTTTAACCATCATTTTTTTTTTTTTAAGTTTTTAAAAGTAGAAAAAATAAATTTTCAAATAGTCAACAAAAAGAGAATAGAAGAATAGAATAGAGCATAAACAATGATAAACCTATCCACGCCCTGAATAACCTGACCTCACATGCATTTTTTTGTTGTACCAAAAATATGTCCCCAATTTCAAGAAAATACTTTAAGTATTTCTTTAGTTAACAGCTAACGGTTTAGGCATTTGAATTATTTTAATTTCTCTATGTCAAATTTACAAGCTGTTCTGCTACTTGCTTTTGTCGGCTTGTCTGGTTTCCGCTGCGGTTCATTGCATGTTGCCGCTTTGTCTGGCGTTTCAGTTCTAAGTACTTGAGTATGTATGGATAAAAGGAGTGTATGTATATGTGTGTGTTTATTTATTGCAGCCCTAACCAAAAAATGTCTGACTAAATGTGTCTGTCTCTTTCTGCCAATGTGCTCTCTCTGTCCCTATCTTCGAGTCTAACAGAACCTTCACATGCGATGAGGTCGCGTGTTGGCAGCGGAAAAAAATGTTAGTTATGCAAAAAGTTTGCTGCCAACATATAAAGCCAAAGGTCAGTGCACTTTTAGTTTATTACAGCACGCACAAATACACACACAGACACACATGTACACATGGTTTCACATTCAACGTGCCAAAAGTGGAGAAAAAATAATTTTATGTAGCTTTAAAGCTACAAAAGAAGCTAAAAGGTTAAGGGACTGTCCATTTCAGGCAAAAGACACATTTTTTGTGCCTATGCCAAGTGTACTTTAAAAGCAAGAAATGAGTAGAAAGTACAAATTTCTACAGCTGCAGCAGCGGTGACTCTCAAACTGTGTATGCAAAATGTATATGAGTGCATTTAATGCTGCACCACTGCAGCTGACAGTAGCAAAATAAAAAAAAATCACGTAGCCGCCCGGTGGTGCCAGCAAGAACTTGGCACATTGCCCGTTGGCCAGAACAAGATGCATGCGATGCGATGTGTATGTGTGTGTGTGTGTGTGAATTGAATTCGGCTTGCCAGCAAAAACTAGAAATTGAGCATTTTCGTATGCTAAATAGTGGAAAATTTATGAGCAGCTTGTGCGTTTAAGCAGCGCAAATAGTTAGTGCAGATAAAAGAAAAACTCAAGGAAATTTTCAACAGCAAATGCAAGAGGAAAAGGACAAAGCATGCCAAACACAAACTCAAATTGTAAATCTACCTACACACAGCAAAACAGTTTGCAAAGCGTTGCCAAAAAGCCCCAAAGCCTGCATGTCGCTAGTCAGACTAGTTAGGAGGACTATATATATATGTATAGTATATAACAAATATCATTGGCGTTGTCTGTTATTTCGATACTCAAGCCAGCCACATGCAAGCACGCGACGCTGTGCCGCTATTTTGATGTAGACCCAGTCGGAAACGGACACTATTAATATCCTCGTCCTCTGTCTCAACCTCGTTCTCTGGCAAGCCGCTTGCGAAGCACTGCAAAACCAAAAATAAAAGAAAAAACCAAAAAAAAAAAAAAAAACAAAAACAGAAAGCAAAAACAACAGAAAAAGTGAACATACTAAGTATTATCTAGTGTATAAAATCATAAAGCGAAATCAGTCAAATGATGGGAATGTTTTGTTGTTACTTATGGCAGGAGAGACAGGGAGATAGGGAACTGATTATAGCTGCGTTGTTCTCTTAGCTTGTCACTGTCTTTGTTTCTCGTTTAGTCTTTTTGAAGCTTTTTAAATATTTCTCATAACGCTTCTTCCGTTTTATTTTTTTCAAGTTTCCCTGTTGCTAAGCCTTACGTTATTTTTCTCACCACGCTTGCTCTATCCCTCTTAAATGCTTTACGCTGCGCAAATCTTCATGCGTCGCACCAGGCGTCTTTCTCTTTACTTCTCACTATGGTTCTCTTTTACGATTTCAACTCCGCTTCTTTCAGTACATTTCGCTTCACTATTCGCTGCACTTTTCACTTTGCTTCTCGCTACTCTCCTGACTATTTTTGCTCAACAAAACGCTGCTCGTTTAGGTTTTTGCTTCTTTTTCCAATTAAAGAGTTGCATATACATATTTGGTAGTCAAAGCAAAAATTGCTATTCACAGCCCTTGGTGTATGTACGCGTATTTTGTTAATGTAATTTAAATGCAATTGTGTGGCAATCGAACTCACCTGTTGCATATTGCGCCATTGTCCGCTGGCATCGTGCTCGATATCGTTGTGTGCCATATCGTTGCCAAACACGTTGAATTGGCTCTGCTGGTTCTCGTGGGGCTGGTCATCGGGCTGGGAGGGCACCTCGGTGCCATAGAGAATCATATCCCATTGTGTGATTTGCGCTGCAAGGCAACGAAATGAGATTAGACAAGACTGCGAATGTTTTGAATCAGAAATAAAAATAAACAAAAAAAAATAAACAAAAATAAGGCCAAACAACGGAAAATGTGAACATATGATTTATGGAATAACAAACGGGGCGTATGAAGGGCCAATAAATCTGTCAAAAAATAAAACAAATGATGTGCCAAAAGCTAAACACAATTTCTAGTTGAGGCCATATGAAAAATGTGCTGCATACATTTTTGAATGTTGACAACCGAGAATAATAACAACACTTGCACTTTGCAGTTAACTTAAAACTACTTTGATGGATGTAACGCGTTCAGTGGTTGTTAAACTATAAGCAACATCAAAACTAAAACAAATTTAGAGGCCAGTGTGGATTGCAGTTGCTATTACTAACTATAATAAGTAACATATGGTGGTCAGAGGTGGTCAGAGGTTCACTAGGTTACATAAAGTTAAATTCTTCTTGAGCTAAAGGTTTGAATATACATAACAGTATGGCAACGCCATGTAAATACCAGCAGACAATTTGATTGTTTAATACAACCTCGAGTTACTTTTGTATTAATATTTATATTCACATTGCATGCTTAACACGAATATAAACTGCAAGCTAACTATAAAGATCATCTTAGTCAAAGGTAATATTAAATAGAGATTGGCGATGTTTCTTTCGCAATAAGTATCAGTTGCTGAGCTCTATCTCTATCTATCTCTATGAACTGAATGCTAAATGCTTAACATAAAGATTATCTACAATCTAACTGAACCTTACACAACGTAAAATAAAATTAAAATGTAAGTATTTTCTTTCGCTTTAAGTATGCTGTACATGTACATATGAAATGTATAGTTGTTGTATATCTTAAATATTTAATTTAATTTATATATTAAATATTTAACATAAAGAAAAATTGCAAGATAACTGTAGAGAGCACCTTACACATGCAGGAAAGTTTGACTAGGTTTCTCTCGCCCTAAGTATAAGTTGTTAAGGTCTATTATTTGAAAGGATTGATTAAATTGTATGTTAACAATTGAACATGATGAAAAACAGTGGGATAAATAAAACTACAACTAAATAAAAATTGAAAAGCAGTCTCGTCTTAAATGCCAGCTACTGAGGTTTATAAATGTTCTATAATAAATTTAAGGTGCAATTTTGGCCACAATTTGTTTTAGTGCGTAAGCAGTGGTTTTTTTTATATTCAGGATACCATTTGCTGCGCTGCTTTTGCCAAAACTGCTCGGTGCGAGCTGCAATATCCCCTCCTCAGAATCATCATCTTCATCATTGGCGCTCATATCATCATCGCCATTCTGGGGGGCCAGGACACCGGCGGCGGCCATTAGAAGCTGCTGCTTCTTTAATATGCGCTGATCAGGCAAAAAGCTGCTGCCACCCGCGGGCAAAATGGGCTGTGATGGGGGCGGCGGAGCGGATGGTGATTTTTTGGTATTGCCAGGCTTGCTGCTGCCAGTAGCACCACCTGTTGTGGGTCTAAACAGCTCCACCTCAAATTGTTTGCCCTGTTTGCGCGGGGATTGTTGCTTTTGCTGCTGTTGCTGCTGCATACCAGGCTTCGATTTTGATAGGCTGCTGCTCTCGTAAGGCTCCAGTTCGGGAAAAATAGCCTGAATCTTGTCGTAGTGCTCGAAAAGCTTGGGTATGCGCGAGTCGGGGCTGCTGTCCTTCACCTGCTTGGCTGCCTTTACGGGTAGGCGTGGTGCAGTGGAGCTGTTGCTGCCGCGATTGTTATTGTTGTTGTTGTTGTTGTTGTTGTTGCTGGTGGTGATTTCGCCTATGACTTTGCGCGTTTTTTCTTCATAATACTTTTCGCTGGAGCTGGCTTTGGGGCGTTGCGTTTGCAGTCCATTGGCCTGCCCCTTGGATTTGCCACCGCCACCTCCTCCTCCACCGTGCTGCTGCGATATTCGATAGTATTTATTCTTGTTGCTGCCTTGGTTGCCGATGTTGCTGCTGCTGCTGTTCTGTGCGGCTTGCTCCTTTTTGTTGGTCTTGCCATTGCCATTCTTTTCGCCCGCCTTGTTGGCTTTATTGGCTTTGTTGTTGCCTTTGTTATTACCCTTGTTGTTGTTGTTGTTGCTGTTGTTGTTGTTGGTCTTACCCAATATAACACCATATGTAGCGGAGATTTGTTGATAGCCCTGCTTCGCTGGTGGCGCCGGCGGCAGCGGCAGCAAAGGATTGCTGGTCACCAAATTGGATTTATTGGGCGGCAACTTACTCAGCGGCAGTTTGGCGCCACCTGCCGGTGCTTGGGCGAAGTTATTGGGCGATATGCGTGGATATTGCGGGGAATAGATCTGATGCAAATTACTGGTCGTGCTGCTGGTGGCACTCGAATTTGGCGTGGTCGCCTGCTCGGCGCTGCTAGCACGTGCCACCGAAATAGGATCATTGGGATCGATGGTCAGCGTGGTACCATAGAATATCAACGACCATTCGCGCAATAGGGCGTGGCCTGATGGGATTTAAGATGGGTAAAAGTAGTTGGATGGGTTTTATTAGCAATGGCAAGGTTGAATGAGTTTAGTTGATGAGTCCACAGAAAGCGCAGCATGTATAATTGTTTGGGTTTTGTTGTCGGTTACCATTACGTGAGAAGCTTTCGATTTTTTTTTACTTACCCATATAGCGGCCCTCGTTGTGTATTTCCAGCTGCCAGTTGCCATGCGGTGACTCGCCCCACGTGTGCACCGACATGAAGGGCCATTGATTGAAACCGGAACGTGAATTATCATGCATGCTGAAAAGGAACGATGACAGCGGAAAAGTCAGTTTGTGACACGGGTAATGAGTGTATGGATTAATATCATTTTCATTAAATATTTTTCAATTATTCATGTTATTTGTAACTCAGTAAAATCATTCAGCACCCTATTAACTACCCACTTCATGTTTTATATTCTAAATAAGCTTTACCTTATCTCTTTAACTACCATGTAGAGTTGCAGAATATCTTGTAGTTCATCTTAAATACTCTCTAAGTTTTTTTTGATAGCATGATTTAAGGTATTCCTAAAGCTATCTTGTAAAAATGAAATGCATGCCAAGCTTGAAATAATTTTGGTAATTTTATACCCATTATATTCTTGATCAGCATCAATAGCCGAGACGATCTACCCATGTCCATCTGTCCGTCTGTCCGTATGTATAAGAGCTAGAGACTTGAAATTTAGATGTAGGTGCTCCTAGTGCCTGCGCAGATCGAGTTTGTTTCCGATAATCGATAACTTACTCCGTTTCCAATCAATCGATAAAAATCGGTATCGATATTCTGTTTTTTAGTTCTGTTTGTTAGCTTCCAAAATATAATATATATATTCATTTGATGTTGGAAGAAGAGGGTTCAGGGTATCCCCTAGTCGGGAGCTCCCGAATAGAACCTCTTACTTGTTTTTAATTTATTTGGTGTTGGAATAAGAGGGTTCAGGATATTCCCTAGTCGGGAGCTCCCGACTAGAACCTCTTAGTTGTTATATATATATTACTGAGTTTGTGGTTTCAGGGTTTCCGCTAGTTGGGAACTAACGACTAGATTCTCTTAATTTTTAAATTAGTTATCTGTGTTTTTTACCCTGGGCCAAAAATTGGCAATTTTCCCTTCCGAGTTACCTTCTCATTCTCTGCCAGTGGGTTAACTTACCGTGAGGTTAGTAATGTGACTTTGGTATTTGCCGGGGATTTCAGATAAAGCTGAATATCACCGCGCCGCTGTGAGGTTAAGGTGATCTTGGCCTGCACATGCTCCAGATAATTGACTGAGAGGCAGTGATTAACGGACAGCTGCAGTGTGATGTGTGTGCGGGGCGGAATGACTCTGCAAAGAGGAAGGGTATTTATTTGGTACGTATTACACAAGTGAATCTCATGACTTACTTGTCCACATGTGGAGCGTTAATCTCGCAGCGCTGTTGCTCGGGCACTGTTTTCCAGTTGCGTGCGACGCGCACCATTTCGGCGGCATCCATGAGACCATAGCCAAAGGAATGGCTCACACGTCGGCCCACACCGTTCCGCGACCAGCTGGAATCCTTGAGATTCGCCGGCTTTGCGGTGCGCACCACAATGTGCTGCAGGTCGCGCCAGGTGAGATTCTGATTCGACTGCAGCACCAGGGCTGCTATGCCCGCGGCGAGCGGTGCCGAGGCCGAGGTGCCCGTATGTGATACGGTGCATGAATGATGCAAATCTGTGGTGACCACCTGCTTCTCGCTCTGCCCGCCGCTGCTGTAGGTGGTGGCCAGCGTGGAGCTACATTTCTCCGAATACCACGGCACATTGCCCTCTTCGGTGGCGCTTGAAATGGACAACGTCCATATCGAATTCGTATAGCCATCGCAATTGCAATTATCCATTTCCCTGCCTCCATTGCCAGATGCCCAAATGAAGATGCTGCCCTTTCCGCCACGCCCCTTCGTTGTGCCCTCAATAAAGGCACGCGAGGCTAATTCACCAGGTCCATCCACTGTCTTGCCATCATCATCGGGTCCCCACGATGCGCTATATATGTCAATGTGCTGCGGATTGAGCGAGAGCGAACGCGCCTCCACAGCATCAGTCACATCACCGTCCAGCATCCGCACACCGCCCACACTTGCCCCATACGCGATGCCAACCGCACAGAAGGAGTTGTTTGCGGTGGCAGCCACCTCGCCGGCACAGCGTGTGCCATGACGGTTCGAATCGGTCATGTCGTAATGTGGCATGGGGTCATCATCGTGACTGTTCACGTCATACGAGGCTTTGGGATCCTGTTAAAAGTATTATTAATAATAAAAATACGTGCAACGATATGAGTTCCTTGTTACTTACGTAGTTCTGCTCAATATCCGGATGATCGGACTCGAGTCCATCGTCCAGAATGGTGACCACAACACCTTTGCCTGTTATTCCCTGCTGCCAGGCGGGTATTACATTCATGTCCAGGTCTCCGCCGCGGTTCTGTAAAGCAAGTTTATTATTTTCAGCTCTTTACCCGCCATCCGCACACTTACCAGATACCACATCTGGGGCCATTTGGGATCATCGAAGGTCATCACATCCACCAGCGACAAGGCTCGAGAGGAGGTGCGCGATGGTCGCATGCGTATAAAATCGCGCTTGGATCGCGACTTTGCCCGCTGCTGTTTGGCCCAATGGACGCGCTCATCCAAGTCGAGGCGGGTCTGATGATGTGTGGCGGGTGTCAGTGAACGCTTCGACACCTTGTGGTGCGCAAAGTGATAATGATCATCGAATATCTATTATAAAGAATATAAAATGAAAAACAATATTAGCGAGTTAGATCGAAAAGGGATAGTCCCATTTGATGAATGACCATTTCAATTCAGTCCGGATTACTGGTAATCCAAACTTAAGAAGCAAATTTAAAGCAATAATCTTTACGGATCAATGTGAAGCTTAAAAGCGAACTATTACGCTACAAAATTAGCAGTTAAATAAGTTTATTAGATATTGATAGATAAATATTGCCTTCCTTAATTTGCACAATTTCCCAGAGTCGCTTTTGGATCCAAAAATGATATGGGTCTGCAGGAAACACTTTATCCTTCTCTCTATATGTTTCAAATCTTCAATATCAGCAAATAATTCATTATCTATGAATCCTAAAAATCCATTTTGTAATACTACGCCAAGGCTTAACATCATCATTGATTGAGATAGTTTTAAAGACGAATCATTAAGAAAAAAAATCATTTACAAACCTAGTTTCCAATCAATACAAATTTTAATCAAAGTAGTATGCCACTGTAAAAACTTCATACAAAAGCCGTCTAGATATAATATATTAGTTTTTAACCATTTCAAACTCATAAAATTTGACGAAAATATTGGCAAACTATTTTCAATTAATTTGACTTGAAAATGGCCCGGCGATTGGGTAAGATGCAAGAGCTGGCGGAAAAACTTTTTACACCATCGGAAATACATCGTTTCAATGCCTATCGAGATAATTTTTCAAAAAAATATTTGAATTTGAACTCGTATAGCTTTAGGTGGTCCTTCAAGCGGCCCAGACTGTCAGTATCTATGCCCAAGTGGATAAATTCGCGTTTCTTCACATCCGGCGACTGTGAACGTGGGTTTTAGCTGTCCGCTTAAGAGGAATCCCCTTAACTAGAGCTTGTTCAATCCACAGAAACCAGTGAGGAATGCTGTCGCGAGCGACCCGATCACTTGCAGCCGAATTGTGAAATCGATTGGGATTCGGTGCATCCACCTGGTCAACCCTATGAGCCCCGTGACACACACTACTGGTATCCAGATCCGGAATATTTGGAGCAATTCCAGGGCCAGGTCTTTTGGCCCATGGGCGATGAATGGAAGAAGCGGCCGAATCCATCGAGTCGCTACTTTCCGCCCATCAATCGAACATTTCGCAGCAAGTTCATCAACTTTGGGCCCGCACATCCAGCGGCACATGGAGTGCTTCGCATGATCCTGGAGCTGGACAATGAGACGGTGCTCTCGGCTGATCCGCATATTGGCTTATTGCATCGAGGCACGGAGAAACTCATCGAGTACAAGACTTACACCCAGGCCTTGCCCTATTTTGATCGACTCGACTATGTCTCATGTATGGCCTGCGAGCAGGCCTATTCTCTGGCCGTAGAGAAGCTGCTGAACATTGAGATCCCACCCAGGGCCAAGTTCATTCGCACCCTCTGCGGCGAGCTGATGCGTCTCACCAATCACACCATGGCCGTGAGCTCATCCGTGCTGGACTGTGGCGCCATCACGCCGCTTTTCTGGCTTTTCGAGGAACGCGAGAAGCTGTACGAGTTTTCAGAGCGCTTGTCAGGCGCTCGTCTGCACGCGGCGTATATTAGACCAGGCGGTGTGGCCCAGGACATGCCCTTAGGCTTCAGCGATGATCTGTATCGGTTTATCATAGCCTTCAGCGATCGCCTCGATGAGGTCGAGGATGTCGTTACTGATAATCGCATTTGGCGCATGCGCAACATTGGCATCGGCCGCATCTCGGCGCACGACGCACTCAACTATGGCTGCACGGGTCCCGTACTACGGGCCACGGGCATCAAATGGGATCTGCGCAAACAGCAGCCCTACGATGCCTATGCCGATATGAAATTCAACGTGGTCATCGGCTCTCAGGGCGATTGCTACGATCGTTACCTCGTGCGCTTGCGTGAAATGCGCGAGTCGTGCAGTATCATTTTGCAGTGCTTGAACTTGATGCCGCCGGGTCACATCAAGGTGGATGATCGCAAGATTATGCCGCCACAGCGTCGCAAAATGAAGAGTGGCATGGAGGATCTCATACATCACTTCAAGCACTTCTCGCAGGGCTATTGTGTCCCGCCGGGAGAGACCTACACGGCCGTTGAGTCGCCCAAGGGCGAGTTCGGGGTTTATCTGGTTTCGGATGGTAGTTCGCGACCATATCGATGCAAGATTCGGCCCGCTTCCTTTACGCATTTGGCACTTCTGAGCAAACTTTCGCCTTCATATCTGCTAGCCGACGTTGTGGCTATTATCGGTTCGCTGGACATAGTTTTTGGCGAGATCGACCGCTAGCCGAATTTAGGGTGTTAAGGTAGTTAAGAAATGACAAAATAAAGAGCTTGATGCTCAAAGCAAATGCCTGTCAGGCTTACCGTATGATTCAGATACCCTGTGACAACTTGACTCCCAAACCCTTACCAAATGACTGTTAAACATACACACTTTTATTTAATTAAGTGCCTCAAGAGAATACAATGTGACTCATCCGCTCGCCATATGACTAAATGTGCAGCAACTGTATATAAAACTTACTTGCAGCGTGTGATTTGTCAAACTGTCACAACCGCATCAAAACCTTAGTGTGTGCTTGTCAAACTTTCACAACGAGACTGCAAGCTCTTGAAATCGTATAGCAAGTACGTCAGTCCAGGACTCAGAATGTGACTGCCAAACCTAAGTGAGCGAGCCTTTACACGCCGCGCGTGTGACTGTCAAACTCTTAGCGAGTGCCTATCAAATAGCATGCGTGTTACTGTTAAATTTAATGCGTGCTTATGTGACAGACCGAAATACGAGCTGACGTTTAATTACACACTTAAACAACAATAACAACAAGTGTTGGCGACAACGCAAACACCATAAACTATAAATAATAACATCAGCAACACGAGCGCCAACAACAGCAAGAAATTACGTTAAATCCTATAATTACAATAATGGGAAAGTCGTTGCCATAAACAAACAATATGTCAGTAAATTTTTGGCAACAGTTTTAAATAACTACTCACACACACATACACACACACACGCCCGCTCATACAACAAATTGAAGTGTGTGCCTTCTCGTAATTATATATTGTATTTATATTATGTTTGTGAAATGCTTGCTAAATTGTTTTGATTTATTCGGGCACGTCTCTGCCTGTGTGGCGCCCAAGCAGTACTCTATGGCCAGGGCTGCCAGATGGGCTGGCATGGTGTCTGGAATCTGTTCTTAATTGAATTTAATTGCACGAAATTCTTTAGCAAATTACAATTTAAAAGCTACATGGCAACTATTTTGCTATTACTTTTAATTATGCTTCAAGAATTCATTGTTTGTCAACTGGAATTTTGTGTTCAGACCTTTTGTTTGTTGCAGCCCATTAAAGTGGCATAAAAGGTCATGTTTAAGGCATATCTACATGCATTACATTTGCGAGTGCGCCTCTAAGCCTTTTTCTAGATATGAAATTTTAAAGCCTTACTTTTAGCATAGGCTCATAAAAATTGGTATATTGTATGGGTTGCAGTGCTATTAACATGGCATGCGGTTGGCAACCCTGCCAAGCATCTATTGTAGGGAGCTGTGTTGACAGTTTTGAAAAGCGATTGCGTGTGTTTGTGCATGTGTGAGTAACATACGATTTTCACTGTTGCCAAAAACTTGTACATGCTTAAAACATTAGAGTTAGACAGAGAGGGAGGGAGCCAGAGCTCTCTCCTGATGAAAGAGACAGGGTGAGAAGAGGACCCACTCACGCATCATCAAGCGTTTTACAAATATTATCATTAACCGAAAGTTCTGGCGCAAACTGCATGCTGTCAGGTACAACAACAACAAAAGCAACAACTACATGCCGCAGCCACAAGCAACAACAAACAGCAACTGCAGTGTAGCATAAAAGTATGCAACACAATTTATTTATGCCCAGAGCAGGTTGTCGCCGGACGATTTGCAGCTGCGGAAGCGGTTGCTTTGCCCGAGTGTGCGTGTGTCTGAGTATGTGTCTGTGTGTGTGCGTGCGTGTGAGTTTGTGTCTGTGTGTGTGTGTTTAGCTGTCAGTATGCGTTTGTAGTGAAATTTGAGCACTTGAAAAACGGACGAATGTGTCGCCAATGGAACGCCTACAAGCAAAATGTCTGCCCATAACCCCAGCTCCGTCCCCGCCGCATTGTCGCCCGCTTTTCCTTCCTCCGGTCCTCGCATCCTGTTGAGCACTAAAATTTTAATTGCAGCTACTCTCTGCGTACGTGTCGCCTAGCGCTGAAAACTCGTTTAGTTTTTATGCCAGTTGCTCCTATACCTATCCCTACTCCAACTCCCACTCCCAGTTTCTTCCACTTACACATCCGCATCCAATCCTGCTTCTATTTCCGACTGTCGACTCTATCAAGTTTATTAATTTATGCGGCCCAGCAGCATCAGCAGCAGGAACAGCATGAACAGTTACCCGGCCCGGAAAGGATCTACATACTAGTCAAAGATACTCCCCCTACTGTCCGCATACATATGCATTTTTTATTAAGCATTTTAATTGAGTTTGGTGTCAAAGTTAAGTTTATACCCCGGTACTAAAAACAGTTTGAGCGTGTCCTTTTTTAGGGTCCTGTGCTGTTGGACGAGCTTAGTTTTAATCGTTTTGTTGCGGTTTCAATTAAAATTGACTTAAAGCCAGAATAAATATCTGCTCTTTCTCCCCATCTCTCTCTACACGCTCCCATCAAATTTTAGTGCTAATGCGGCACACGTTGGTGGATTAATGGGTATTTTCTGTGCTGTGGGTCAGGACAATGGCATAAATTTTCACAGGCCATCTGCTTCGAGGGCTCGTTAATATAAATAGAGTATCCCAATAGCATATACATAAAAAAAAGACTTTTAATCTACAGCATAGATCAAATCTCACTGTATATCATTTTGGGTCTCCAAAAAGTTGTCTCTTGTTATTAATTTAATACGAATTCTCAAATTAAAATACTGGAAAGCAACAAACACACAATTTACAATCCAGCTCAAAAGGAAGTCAAATAAATCGTGTAGTCTAGAATTACTAACAATATTATTATTGTTATTATTGAAGAGGACTCATGTACTGCCAAGTCTAGAATATGCATTGAGGATTCATGTCTGGGGTTGCTTAATCGCAGGTTATGCCGTTGGAAAATTACAGCAGATCACATAATATTTTTAAACGATGCAGTATTTAAAGTTTATAAACAGACGGTATCAATGTAATATTAATCTAAAATTACGGAATATTTCTTATTCACTTTGTCCCTTGCACGCTCTTCTCTGATAGACAAAGAATTTTCACAACTAAACCGCAAAAGTTTGAATTGTTTAAAGCACCTATTCAAACCCTTTAGATGCGCCTGCATTTTCATGGATGATTCCCAACACATTTTCCGGCTACACATTTCTCTCTCGTTTATTCTTCTACTCTGTCTCTCTCTTTCTCCTTGTAACGCAAAAACAGCCAATTTTCTAGTGCATTTGTCACAGACAGCAAAGTGGACAAAAGCAATAAACCACAACAAATTACAACAACAAGCAGAGAAAGAGAAAGAGAAAGAAAAAGCGAGAGAGGGTCTCGGCAGCGAATGGACAGAAAGAGAGGGGTAGAGTAATATGTTAAGCTGTGAATAATGCGAATCATGGACTGCAGGAGTGGAAGTGGAGCAACACGAGGAACGCTTTTAAAATTGTCAACAGTTTAATTAATCAACTTGTATGCGAGCGAGAAAAAAAGGTAGAGAAAGAGTTTAACTGGGGCTGATAAATGGTGGCAAGGGGGTAGACAGATTAGTCGCTGGGCTGCCTGTGAATGCGGTTTTGCAAAAACGCTCGTCACGTCTGCCACGCTCAATTTCCAACGCGAATGGTTAATTTTTAAGCAGGACCACAAGCAGCCAGACACGGCTGCCATCGAACTGGGTGGCAACGCCAAACAGTCAGACATTCTGTCAGCCAGTGGGTGGTCGAGAGCGAGGTCCAATATAAATATGTGCACCGTTTAATTAGCTGCTAATTAATTAAGCTCTGAAGTCGACGATGAGCAAAAGCTGTGGCTTGCGGCGGCAATTGTATGTAGCTTTGGTTTTCAATTAACTGGTCGACAGAATAGACCATAGATGATTATGTGGATGGAAGTTAAAGCGTTGTGGTCATTGCCTTGCGTTGGTCAATTATGAAATGAATACTCATTATGGAATTAAAGCTTATTTTGATGCTAAAGTAAGCCTCTCACGCACAGCTAAGTCCTCAGTTAAACAGGTCGAACTTCGCCATGATCGTTGTTCTGTACAGCGCATTAAACTTGCGACTTTCAGCTTTAACTTAATTTAAAGCTCATTAGACATTTGTCTAACATCATGAGCAAGCTTAGCACAGTTTTCAGACTTTAAATTTTGTAGGCCGACTAATATTAGGAAAAATTAAAGCTTAAATTGTATGTAAAGGTCGCCCATAACTTAAGGAAAGCTTAAGTAGTACCATATCTATCATATGCACATTTTTTAAATATTACACTTGTAACGAGCACGTTAGCTTTGTAGGGGCAAATGTAACGTAATCTGTCATAAGATTTTTAAAAACTGCATTGCAACAACTGCCAACTGCAGTTGACATCTTACGCAGCTTTTGTGTGACATTTCACAGCTCTCTCTCTCTCTCTCTCTCTCTCTCTTAGGGAGCCTTGCTCCTGTCACACAATTTCCAGCAACCAACCAAACGTAAAAAAATTATGATTTTGAATTCTTATGTCACCGGTAATTTGCTCAGCAAATTTCAGGTATGCACTATCTGTTACAGAGTACAGAGCTTTAAGTTGAATTAAAGTTTCAGATGAATTTTAATAGAGTTCTAATGAACTTTAAATATGTTCTTTTACATCAAATTGGTCTTTAAAAATGATGTGCTTAATGATCGCTTGAGCTTTCAGTAAGCTCGTCTATTCTTTTGATGACGCACTTTAGAGTCTTTTTAGAGCGTTTTTCCTGCAGGTGCACAATTGCTGCTCCATCATTTTGTGTACCATTGCTGCCATTTCCATGCATACAGCATCGCATTTGTTTGGAATCGTTTTCTTGCCTGTTGCTTTTATGCAAAAGCTATAAAAATAAAAATTGTTTGTTTGTTATTTTATTCGCGCTTTCCCTTTGTTCAAATATTTATAAAAAGTGAACACGATTGTTACATGTAATTGGTGGAGTGGGTATGCTTTAGGTACAGTTGTGCGGCCAGAGTTGCCACAAACACACACAAACTGAGACATGGCAGAGCAGAAACCACAGAAAAAGGTGCAAACACAACTTTTGCATGCATATTTATGGCTTTTGCTCTTTATTTGCTAAAAGCAAACAATAAATCGAGTTTGTTTATGCCTTGCCACGCCCATTTACCTAAGTATTTATATATATATATATATACATATATATGATGTATGTATATTTCTTGGGTTGAGAAGAGATTTGCCAGGCAAATCCTAATAAACTAATTTCTTGGCATTACTGTGTAAGTAGCCGTCGGCTAGTTTTACGATAGATAAATAAGTCTTTGCGTAGGGTCGTCCATATGCCAGCTTTACACATGGTTGCAGCCCCCAGGGGTTAGTCAGACTGTGAAAATCTACCCTTAGTCGCTAGATACAACATAATTGTTTGTATGTAGCCATCGTTGAAGTTGAGTTTTTCGTGTTTCTTTTTATTATTATTTTTTTTTTTTTTGCAAACAGGTAGGCTGGCTTACCCTGCCTCAAGACAGCCAGCAACTCGCAACCCTTGGGCACAAATGCATGTCAAACTGTCCCCTGTGGGTAACGCATCTCGAGGGTAGCACAAAGAGAAAACTTTTCCTAGGCAAAAAACAAAAAACAAAAAAAAAATTGAATTAAGCCAAAGATCAGATGCTATAAATTTGAAATTCGTCTGAAGCTCTGCTTGCTATGGCAATCGGGGAGCAATATGGGGGCAATGTGTGTTTTAAGGGTTGCAAGCGTTACGTTCGGGCAGCTTACTATCTTAGGGCTTAACCCTGGCTGGCTG